TTTTTTTTTTTTTTTTTTTTTTTTTTTTACATTGTGAAGGGAAGCTGGCCAATTTTTATACGCTTCGAGAACAGAGAAGGGCCCTTTCTCAATTCCGTATCCACTTTGGACGAAGTTAGTCACGGTTGTTGCTACGCATCGGGCCAATCGGATATTATTTCTCTCTCTCTCTCTCTCTTTCTTTCTCTTTGTGAGCGCTCGTGACCAATCGAAGCGGAAATTAATACAACACTGGGAATAAATTGCATTCGATCGTTCCCAATGCTTCTTGCTCTAATTTTATCGCGGTGGGGGAAAAAAAAAGATTACGTGACGAGGAAAAACAAAATGCCGAAATGATACACAGACCCCATGAACGTTCTCGTTCGGTGCTCGATACTTTTTATCAAATACAAAAGTTACACGATTTCTCAAAATTCGCGGAACCAATGAAGCAAATTTCTCGGCGACTGGAATTATTGAATTCATTGGAAAGTTTGTTTATTCGTATGCGTATGACACGGAAGAGGGACGAAACGCGTGGATGGTTAAATGGACGCACACGCATGGCGGATGCGGCCATGCTTTCACCATCTTCCCCTTGATATTTCTGTCGTGTCCACGCACGAATACGCACCATGCACCGCCCGCGCACGTGGCAGATGTTCCATTTTACGTACTCACGCATGCGTTTTATATCTCGTTTCCCCACCACACATCCCGCTATTTCCACCGATCCGATCCGATCCGATCTTTTCATCTAGTTTGTTTATTTGAAATTTTCTGCGTACAATTGTACAGCGAATTTGTACGATACATTTTGTACATCGTTTCGTTACGTTTCGTTCATGTTCCCTTAGAATTAATACCTGTACGTATAATAAGTAAGTCTGTGCGTGTCGCGAGTATCGCATACATCAGTATCAACGTTTCTTTAATTCCTTTTATACCGCATTCTATCGCTGTATCGTTCGATATTGAAAAACTCAATAACTATCTCGTCTATCTGTCGATTCCTTCCTCTGCCCGATGAATTATTAAAGGCACAGGACAAGCCAGCCAGTGTATGTACACTCTGTAGCAGGCGGAGTCGGCCACGTTGAACGCCTGTTAGACAATTTCAACGCGCAGTTGAAAATCGATACGCAAAGCTGTATACGCCCCTATTTACAACGTCATCGGAGAATTACCGCCAGGCAGGCAAGATTGGGCGGTTTGAACGATCGAAATCACGGGATCGCTGGGGAAAGTAGGATAGAATCCATTTTGTTTGTACCGTTGTTTTCTTCTAAAATTAGAAGCTTCCGTAACCGAACCACATTATGTGACAAAAATTTCAAAACAATTTTCAAACAACATCGCGGCCGCCTTCCGCGCAAACAGAAGAAAATTGAAAATTTCTTTCGCTTTTCCATCTCATACTGAAGTATAAATATTTAATTCAATGTTTAGTAAACTAATGCATTTGGAGCAAGAACCGGATTCAATGCACTGTGTGTTGTCACATGTACAAGTGTTGAAGAGGGTGATGAATACTTAATTTGCAATTTTTGTTATATTAATTAAGATATATATGTTTTTTGCATATACGTCGAAAGTTCCTAAACTAGTATCAAGCATAATCTTTTATAAGACAGAACGACTATTCTATTTGTTAAAATTGTTAGAAATAATTGTTTCTACTATTTTTTATCTAATAAAAACAAAAACTTTATAACTGCATTGCGTTTCAATAGGTACCTGGTTTAGGTTAGGTTTCATACACCTACCTGTGTACCTCTAGAATATTTTATTCTTCCAAAATGAGCCAAGCAATCGTTTTTCCAAATAAAAAAGCTTTGGCCATTTTCTACGTCGAAAAAACGGCGTTTGAATTGTTAAAAATAATTGTTTCTGCTGTTTTTTTCATCTAATAAAAACAAAAACTTTATAACTGCATTGCGTTTCAATAGGTCTTTTAATAGGTTAGGTTAGGTTTCTTTAATTTCATACATCTCCCAAGTATATTTTATGAGCCAAGCAATCGTTTTCAAATAAAAGCCATTTTCTTTTCCTAACCTCTTGCGCTGGCAACTGGTTCACGGACCATAACGAGTGACCAAAACCGTACAATTCGCCGCTTTTTTTTCGAATTCGTCGGTACGATAGAATTCGATGGATAGAAATTCTTACTAATAAATTTATTGTTTGTTTTTCCTGGGTATATATTTAAATATATTTAAAACTGAGGAAATGTCGTTGCAATTCAAGAGATTCAACCACGGCGTTCGAATTTCGTCGGAGGGACGAGAGAAGGTTCGAGCGGAGAACGCTGCGTCGGTAAAGTAGGAAAGGAAAGGAATAGAGGGAACGAACGCAAGTGCTTGGGGGGCACACCCAGAGCAAAGCGCACCGCGGCCGAGACAATGCTATGATAATTTATTCCTCGGATATAAACTTTTTACGAGAGATCCGGCCGTGTAATCCATCATGCTTCGTCAAATTGGTACAAGCGCCTTGTACGTCGACGGCGTCGTGCAA